TGTGACTAGCTCCTCCTAGATTCCTTAAAGTTCTGGCTTAAATATCACCTTTTCAGAGAGGCCTTCTTAGATCACTCTATGAAATGAAGGTCCCAGACTCCCCCAGTTTTTGCCTGTAACATATAATCCTGTTCATTGCCTTTATAAGATATAGTGAAACTGTTTATTTATTGGTTTGTTTACTGTCTTTCTCTTCAGCCAGGACTGAACTCTCTTGCAGCCAGGGATAGCTTCTGATTTGTGCATCAGTTTCCTAGAAACTTCCTGGAAACAAGCCTAGAAACATGCCTCGAAAAACCTTGCATCTAGTAGCTGATCAATGAAAAATTATTGGTCAATGGATTATTCTAGTGAGCAGTCCAAATGTTGAGGGGGGTATCCCTTTGAGGGACTATGAGGTCAGAAATCCATCATCATAGTGAGCAGTCAATATCCTTATACATTTTTTTAAAGAAGATTACCTTGTCCGCCATTTTTGCTACATAAAGTAAGTAGCCATTTGATTCTAAGAAGCCAATATTTATAATCCCTCTTAACCATGTGTTTGGTGAGATGCTGGGGTAAAACATGGGATTTGACATTTTCCATTCATGGCATCATTGATCAATGTGACAAAGAGGAAACTATGAAAACAGTACCAACTGCAATGATGACAAATTCCCACCCAAAAGAATTGATCACAAGTCCTATCAAACCAGCTTTTTATTGAGTTAACACTCTGTAAGAGTGTGTTAAGTATACAATTAGCTTGTTATTTAAATAGTGATTATTTCTATCCTAGATGAGTACATAGAAAGGATTAAAGTTTTCAAAGATAAATGAAAAATACGATCCTTTCCCTTCAGGTACATAAAGAAATATAGGAAAATAAAATCAAGAAAAATAAGAAAAATGACAAGTAGAAGATTATTTCACTATTCAAAATATATGTCATAAATTTTCTGATATTGTGCTAAAGTTGGTTGTAAGTTTTGTTCTGATTTTCCTAGCAGCCAGTGTAATGAGTAAAATATGATTTAGTATGTGATTTATAGGCAGGGCCAGCTACATAATTTGCTGGCTCCAGTGCAAAATGAAAATGTGGGGCCCCTTATTCAAAAAGCAGGAAAAATGCCATTAAATGTAATAAAACATGAAACTTTTTCCTTTCTTCCACGCTCTCACTCTAGACCTGTCATGGTGTTTTTTATTTGTTATTTAATGGCTCACTCCCTCGGGCATGGGAATACTGGCTGGTAAAGCAGACTCTCAACAGGCACTAGTTATGTTTCCCCCTCCCCCTGTCCACCCCCTTATTTGCCCACCTGCTGCTGCGTTCTCGTTCCTGCACCTACCAGACCTATGCCCTCTTTGGGGACAAGGGAGCCAGTCTGCCCTTCCAATGGCCTGTTGCCTCAACCCACCAAGAATGGGGAACACCCAAGGGATTTCTAATCAGTTGTATGTGGGATGTGATCAGTACCTGGATTGGGTATGAGAAGGCTTGTGCCACCAAGCACATGGAACAAGCATCATCATAGAGACTACCACTGCTGTCTCCTGCCCTGAGACACCACCGGATCTGCATCATCCTACACCTTCCCTCCCCATGGCCCCCTGCCTCTGCTCAAACTCTCTCTGATGCATAGTGCTCACTGGCCTGAGAGAGAGAGAGAGAGAGAGAGAGAGAGAGAGGCTTAACAGTGCCTGGGGTGCAGTGGAGCAGTTTGTATCAGCAGTGTCTGGCTGGGCCTGAGGAGGAGGAATTGAGCTGGGCCAGACTACCAAAGGCAACACAATGGGACGCCAAGAGCCCATCACAGGGAGGCAGGAAGATAGTGGGAGGGAGGCGGGACTGCTTGAGAGCTGAAGCTCCAAGCTTGGTGCATGCTGCTTTGTCCCAAGCCACAAAATATACATTTACATGTACAAAATATAGATTCAAAAATAAAATTATTAAAACTTTCAAAACAGCAAACAGAGAGCATTAAAATCAAAGTAAGGGAACTTTCTGAGGATGAGGCCTGAAGGAAATCGCACCATTTACATAAAGTCAACCCCATCGATAGAGTCTGTAAGTTAAAAACAAAACAAAGCACCTTAGTTGTTAAAGAAAAACACACCTGACCTTGACACTGAGAACTGAGAACTCAGAGAAATTTCTCACGGATGTCTACGTAAAGAAGACATTGTGTTATATAATTGGCAGCGTCCTTAAAATGTCTCATTCATTCAATAGAACTACCATTCTGAAGTACCTGTGGTTAGCTTTAAAAATAAAACTACCAGTTATTTTATCAGCAAAAATGGGTTTATTAGGAAATAGCAGGGAATTGCAATTCAGGATAAGCAAGCTATGGCAAAACCATAATCAAGTCTGGAGAACAAAGAAGTGCTCTTTTACAGAGAAAGGGGGATGTGGGAAGAGAGTATAAACAAAAAGTCCACTGGGGTAAACTGGCAGTTTAGAGTATGCTAGACTCTCATTGGCTGAGTTGTGACTGTCTTTCACTGGCTGGACTGTTGCCGGGGGAGGAGGAAACCTTTCTTACTCCTGCTGGCATAGTAAAGCCCACATGGGCTCACAAGGTAGGTCTCTTCCTGTAGAGTTTGCAATGGAGGGCGAGTGGTCGGGTTGAGAGCTCCCCCTGCTGGCTTCCCAACTCCACTTTTTTAATTTAAAAATTTTTAAATTCTTTTTAAATTTTTTTTTATTGGAGTTCAATTTGCCAACATATAGCATAACACCCAGTGCTCATCGAACTCCATTTTAAATGAGGTTTCCTTATCTTCACACTAGGCATCATCACTATACTTACTTTCCAGTGGGGAAGAGCAGAAAATAAATACATAAACAAACCAAAAATCACCATTCCACAAGTTGTGGGAGATGCTGGACTGCTTTTCCAGACTCTAGTCATGCCTTTTCTGATCTGGCACCTACCTGCCCATCATCTCTCGTCAACCCATCTTCTGCATTTCAGCTCAAAGTCTTCTCTTTTAAGGAAGGCTCCCCTAAAAAAAAAAAAAAAAAAAAAAAAGGAAGGCTCCCCTATACTCCCAATTAGACCACATACCTTTTGCACTCTTCATAGTTCCCTCTACTTTAACTTCATGGTGCTGTTTACAGAGTTTGGAATTATGTATATAATTGTCCCCTCTACTTTAACTTAGTCCCCTCTACTTTAACTTCATGGTGCTGTTACAGAGTTTGGCTCTTGTGTATATTGTCATTTGCTTGTTGTCTCTTTATCCTTGGCGAGACCATAGGCTCAAAGCTGTAGGATATGTTTTGTCCTGCCTTCATTATATGTCTCTAGTGGTGAGTACAGTATTCCTAGCATTTGTGGAAGCTGCATCTCTTTGCAATGGGCAGATTCAATAGCAAATGTGCTGAATACACACTTTGTGCCAGATATGTTGCTGCATCCTGGTGATAAAATAATGAATGAGACACATGATCCATGTCTTCAGAAAGGATTCTGTTCCTCCTTAAACCTACTTACCATTTTTTGCCCACAATCCTTTTGCTCCAATCACATATTTCACTTGTTTCTTGAACACTCTCCATCTGTTTCCACTGAAATTCTTTTTATCAAAATGCCATCCTTCCAGATATATCCTTTTATTCTTTTCTTTTTTTAGGGAGAGAGAGAGAGAATCCCAAGCAGGCTCCATGCCCAGAGTAGAACACAACGAGGGGCTCGATCTCACAATGCTGAGATCATAACCTGAGCCTAAATCAAGAGTCAGACATAATCAACTGAGCCACCCAGGTGCCCCTCCTTTCTATTTTTTAAACTTCAGATTGACTTCCATACTGTAGAAGTTTCTAGAAGCCTCCCACCTCCCCAAATAAATTCTTCTCTTCACTATTCAGAGATTTTAATAGGATACATGATATCCTGCCTGACAACTACACTAGTCCCCTCTTATCCACAAGGAATATGTTCCAAGACCCTCAGCCCTACTGGCTTCCCAACTCCATTTCAAATGAAGTTTCCTTATCTTCACACTAGACATCATCACTATACTTACTTTTCAGTAGGGAAAAGCAGAAAATAAGTATATAAATAAGCAAACCAAAAATCACCATTCCACAAGCTGTGAGAGATGCTGGACTGATTTTCCAGACTCTTAGCCATGCCTTTTCTTATCTGGATGGTCAAATGGTACTGGAGCCTATATATAGCTTTTTTTTTTTCTATACGTATATACCTACAATGGTTTAATTTTGAAATAGGCACAGCAAGAGACTAATTAATAAACAATAACTCATAATAAAATAGAACAATTATAACTAAACTATAATAAAAGTTATGTTAATGTGGCCCCTCTCTCTCTCCGAGTATCTTACTGTACTATACTCATCCTTCTTGTGAAGATGTGAGATGATAAAATGCCTGCATGAGAAGATGAAACAAGGAGAATGACGTAGGCATTGGGACAGAGCCTGAGGCCACTACTGACCCTCTGATGACTGGATGGAGGGATGATCATTTGTTTTTGGACCACCATTGACTGGGGATACTTGAATCCACAGAAAGAAAAACCACAGATAAGGTAGATTCCCAGCCTCCCTTGCAGCTGGGTGTGGTTATGTCCTTCATTCGTGCCAATGAGTAGGAGAGATGGCTACAGCTTCCACATCATGTACTTAAAAGGAAATTGTTTGCTCTCCACTTCAAATTTGTTTGTCTCTTATCTTGATCTGGAATGTGAACAATTATGGCGGAAACTTCACTTCCATCATGCACGCAAAAACAAGTCTCCTGAAAAAGAAGATAAAGTTAGTATTTGGTTATCCTTGTCTCCTTACACAGAGTACTTAGTTTAAATTATATTATTTAACTTGAATGTCCTAAAGTGCTCTTTTATTTATGAATATACTATCTTTATACAATTTTCTCTCACACAAACTGCTGTCCCCTAACTATCCATTTTTAAAAATGTATAACAAATTGGACCAATGTCAGAATATCAAATTCTATTTTTTTAAGAAAAGATGAGAATCGGAGCAGTCGGACCGGCTGCTGAGACGAACGCTTCACTGGGGCAGTCTCCGCATATCATGGGGAGATAGACGCTGCTGCCTTTGATTGGCCTTGGTCCTCACAGCTCCAAAAAGAAACAGGATCTGGATAAGCTCTATGAGCTGAAGTCCAAAGCTCGGCAGATTATGAACCAGTTTGGCCCCTCAGCCCTAATCAACCTCTCCAATTTCTCATCCATAAAACCGGAACCAGCCAGCACCCCTCCACAAGGCTCCATGGCCAATAGCACTACAGTGGTAAAGATACCAGGCACTCCTGGGACAGGAGGGCGTCTCAGCCCTGAGAACAATCAGGTATTGACCAAGAAGAAATTACAAGACTTAGTAAGAGAAGTGGATCCTAATGAGCAATTGGATGAAGATGTGGAGGAGATGCTGCTGCAGATTGCTGATGATTTTTTTTTTTTATGATAGTCACAGAGAGAGAGAGAGAGAGAGAGAGAGACAGAGAGAGAGAGAGAGGCAGAGACACAGGCAGAGGGAGAAGCAGGCTCCATGCACCGGGAGCCTGACATGGGATTCGATCCCGGGTCTCCAGGATCACGCCCTGGGCCAAAGGCAGGCGCCAAACCGCTGCGCCACCCAGGGATCCCCGATTGCTGATGATTTTATTGAGAGTGTGGTGACAGCAGCCTGCCAGCTTGCTCGGCATCTCAAGTCCAGCACCCTGGAGGTGAAAGATGTCCAGCTGCATCTAGAACGCCAGTGGAACATGTGGATCCCGGGATTTGGCTCTGAAGAAATCCGACCCTACAAAAAGGCTTGCACCACAGAGGCCCACAAACAGAGAATGGCATTGATCAGGAAAACAACCAAGAAATAACACACGGAAAGGTCAGGGGATGGACAACAGTGTATTTGGAGATACTTGAGCTGAGACCTCAGCCATCTCATCCTTGGATTTTTTTTTATTGCTTTACAGAGAAGCATATATTTTTTATTAACAGTGCAGCAATATCTATAATGACTGAGAGGATCTGCCAAAAGAATAAAGCCTCCTACCCCAACTTCCGGTCCCTTTTCCCTGACGTCTCAAAGAAGAGCATCTTCCAGAGAAGATTTTATTTGTGGTTTATTATATAAGTGATTGAATATTGAAAAAAAAAAAAAGAAAAGATGAGAATCAACCAACTTGTAGTTGCCATGAAAAAAAATAGCATCAGTTGAATTATCCTGGAAATACAGTCTTTCCTCTTTTTTTTTAACAGGAAATGGGGAGGAGGAATCTGATGCATGTCTCACGTCCTTCTGTAGCAGGAGAACTTGACCTGTAATGAATGCAGACACTTACTGTATCACCTTGAAACAGCATCTCTTATCAGAATTACATCCCTGAGGATTAGACAGAAAGCTTTATTGGTAAAATGGCAAGCCTTTGGGGATTCTCTTTTCTTCTCCCAACCTCTGAAGAAAGATCTGACTAACTCTAAATACCAAAAATGGCCTTTCTTCCCATATCATCTCCCATGAGTGACCCTAGATCATTGAATATAGTAATCTAAAATCTTTTACTCTTAGATTTGAACTTTTCTTTTTTTCAAAGCAGGAAAATGGACAGAGAGGAAAGCATCTTTGATTTTTTTCAAAACTTTTCAACCTATCGATCTTATTTCATAATTTAATTATCAACCTCACTGTTCCAGAGCAGGATAACCGACAATAAATCTATAATTGTTTCTATTGAAGGGACAGGCTCCCTGGAGACAATTGGCTGAGAAGGTATTTATCAATGCAACATAATAAAAGTTTCAAAAAGCAACATCACTTGAAAGAAATAAAAGTATAGGAAAACTTTCAGCTGAGAATCATTTGCAGTAGAAGGGCCTGATAGAGGCCCTAATACAAGAAATTCTTCAACTCCTTCATTTTCAAAATATCTCCTAGTCTTAAAAATTGACGTTCTGTTTCTGTCTCATGCTCCTCTCTCCTTGTACTCTTTTGGAAAACTTTGGTGTTAACATCCCCTCTAACTGACTCCGTTCTTTCAACTGGCTTCTGATTAAAGTTAACTCTCCAAAAAGTGACTTATAAGGCCTTTTGTGATCTATCCCCTGCCTGTCCTTTTGTTTATTCACAACCTCCCAAGTACATCCGGGATATACACCCTATCATTCTTTCATGGCACTGTCTTCAAATGTACTCTTCTCTCCTCTGGAAGACCTAAAGACGTCCCCACTCCCCAACCCCTGCTTTGGCTCCAATACTTTTTTCTGGCAAATTCTTATTCTCTAAATCTTGGTTCTTCTTCTTGATATTGTCTCTAACCTCCCTTCTTGCCCAAGATCCTTTCTGTAAGTTCTATACCTTGACAGTTTTACCTATATGGTCTCTCGCATATTCAATCACATTCATTTCTCTACTGCCTGGGGCCTTTAGAGACCCTAAGTAACTTGACAGCTTGGTTGATGTAAACTCATCTTTATACTATCAAAGCTTAAAATAGTGCCTTCATTTATAGTAGATGTTCAATAAGTGTTGAATTGAGTAGGTGAAGAGCTGAAACAAAACCTAACATAATATTTTTGCATTTCTCTAATTATAGACTTAATCTACGTTGTTAGCAAATGTCAATCTGTGGAAGATAAATTAGGACCAAGCCTATTACAGCCAAGTACTTATCTTCCTCCTAGTTTCAAAGTTCTTTTAAAAGAGGAATTAGCAGTTCTTTAATACATCAGTACTATAATCCCCTTTCCAAAAATGCCAGAGGTCACCTGGAAATAGAATGCCTGAGCAAGGATTAAAACATAAGAATAGGGGACTTTGGTTAAGTTTACTGGATCACTGCATCCATGTCCTTGTTAAATATGCTTTGTGGACCATGACAAGAAAGCATGATGGGGGTGGGGTGGGGGGTGGGTCATAGGTTGAAGAGGTTAAGAAGGACAGAAGATTTATTGATTGATAGTAATCAATGCATCTTATACTATACTTCTCTTCTTCTGATCATCCTGCTTATAGCTCTTCAACCTGATAACCTTTATTAATGATGGACAAATGTCACACATCCCTAGATTTTGTGATGCATATTTTTGTTACATAGACACTCTATTCAGATCTCCAAATACTGGCAATCCCCATGTAAATAAAAAAGTCCCCAGAGTTTTTAAATACAGTACAGAGAACTTTCAATTTTCTTGAAGAATAAAAGATGATATGAAATATCTAATTTTTCTTTGGAATTAACCGTTTGCCTCTGCCAAAGGAGATGTTTACCTATGGCCCATGAATTTCCCTTCCACTTGTAGACTGAAATCTCATATAAAATCCACCAAAATTATTTCTCAAGTTTGTTGGTTTATCATGGTGGATTGGGGAAATGTGTTGAAATTTTGTATAGATAAAACCCTACGCTTATGTCTTGGGGCATCTCAGTAGACCTCAGTCAGTCAAAGAAGAGAAGTGAAACAGAGGCATGAGTACTTTATGCAACATATTCTGCTAGTAATCTGAGCTGAAACCATGAGGCACAGAGACAGAAAGAGTAGCTGCCTGATAACTATCTTTTATTTACACTGAGGCTGGCCATAATTCTTGTTGGGTTCCTTGAAGTCCCCTGAATCATCAAATAGAGCTTCCATTTTCTTAAACTCACTTGAGTGAGTGGTTATAAACAAAGAGCAAAAGAATGTAGAGTGCTTAACAGTCTTCTAATGTTCTGAGAGAAGAATTAGGTACTTACCATGCCAGGGGCTATGCTTGGAACTTTATGTTTTATATACATATAAGATAAATATTAAAATGTATTTCAAAACTTCACTTATAAGGTAGGCATTATTAAGTACACTTAACAGGAAAGGGGGCTGAATTTAAAAGATAGTGAGTCACTTGCTCAGTGTCTTCTATCTAGTAATTATGGGAGATGGAATTCAAGTCTTTTTTTTAACCTCACAAAAATTTTGTCAAAGTTCTTACCACCATCAAAGTGGGAAATCTTGCAGGGAATAAAAAGACAACAAAAAATATACAGAGAATGGAAAGAGTAGTGAATTTAAAAAAAAAATACCATTGAGATAAATTAAGCCCATTCTTCTAGACATAAAACAGACCAAAACTGTGTGATTGGTGGTGGGGATGGGGAGAAAATTAAGAGGAAAAGGAAAGATGGAGAAACAAGAATGGTCCCATGATGGAAACTTTTCTGAATCAAAGTACTGAGGGGATTACCAATGCTGAATTTTTTGAAATGTACTCTTTGAGAACAAATAGAGTAAAAATGCTTCACTCACTTAAATTAAATCATAAAATATACTCAACAAAGCCAATGGATGATTTAACTTCTATGTCTCCTCATTATGCTTTATGAGGCAAAATAGGATCCTTATATGAATGATTTAAATATATCCGATCCATAGTGGTTAGTTACCCTACCTCATTTCCTTCATATGATTTCCTTATTGAAGAGTCCATAGCTTCCAAGCCCAAATTCTTAAGATCTTCCTTATTTGCCTCAAACTTCCATGTACTTGCTTTGAGGTTAGTGTTCACATCCGTGAAACTTAGCTTCACAGATGCAGTCTGTTAGTGCATTCATAAATACACAGGAGCTATGATTGTTTGTACTTGGGAAACATGAGGTTTTACAAAGTTAAACAGTCTTAAATTTTCCCTTCATTATTAAGTCACAGAACTTAACCCTCATTCTGAATCTTCACATGCAGGTCTTCTCAAATATTAGATCCCAGTTTCTTCTTTTTGAAGAAAAGCTCATGCTACTCATGTTTGGGGAAACATGTAATGGGGATGCGGTTCCATAAAACACAGGGCTAGAAATACCTACCAGTTAATCTTCAACCCTTGCCTAGATATTTACTGCTGACTTTTCTTATGCTACTTTTTAGGGTTGATTTCCACTAGAAGGGTGAATGTGGCAACCATTATCCCTTCTCAAACATTAGTGACCTGCTCGGTGAAAATCCCTCATTTCTTCCTCCAAGGATCCAAAAGACCAGAAATTTCAAAAGGAGCTTCTCTTCAGCGAACATTTGAGGATTCCTCTTTTAAAGTCAATGAGATATAACAGAATCAACTGTTAACATCAGTTGGTAATGTTGTGCATCCAAATTGTTACTTAACCTTTCTGATGCTTAGTTTTCCTGTTTGGAAAAATCATATCTATGTCATAGGAGCATAGTAGGAATCTACAATGTAGTGAAATCTTTTATAATATATCTTCCCTTCTTTCTTACTCAGCTTCTGTGTGTCTCAGGTATTATGTCTTGCCGGACTGATCTTCCAGAAATCTGGATCACACCGAGAACATGAATTCCCCACTGGCTAATGTCTGTTTTTGCAAATATTACCTTACCACATTGCATGTGGAAAAAATACAATTAACTGGACAATGAAAACTAAACGAAGAATTCAGACATTCAAGACAAAGTCTTTGTTCCCAAGGAATATATGTTAGACTTGAAAACACTTTGGCAAACTCGCATGTCAATGGTATTAGAGGAGAGAGAAAGTGAGGAGGTGGGACCTGAGTCGCAAATTCTTGAAAGGGTATGGTCTTCCCATGAAATCTGCCAGGCTCTTGAGGAGTTTATGATGAAGATTGTTTTAACCCTACTGTGTCCCTTCAGTGTGCACATTTTGGGTAGAGGCTTCTGCCCCTGAAGTATAGTGAGTTGCTAGGTGGTCTGGATCAGAGTTTTTAGCATTAATGTTATCATAAGTGACAGCTGGAGAGAGGGAGACTGCAGGGGACAGGGCAGAGAAACAATAGGGTGCCCGAGATATCCCTAAGATTATAACTATATTCTAGACCCTCTACCAAGAGAGAAAGAACAGTGGCCTCGGAGATCCATGTCAGTCCTTTTTCTTCTTTATTTGGTTTTCCAATCACAGGAGACATAGGTAAGTTCATGGAGAAAAGTTTGGCTCTAGTTGACAGCTTGAGGATTGCCTAGATTTAGTTTTAAATACGGAAATAAAACAAAAACTTAGAAAACAATAACTAAAGGACCCAAAACAATGGATTTTCAGAAGTCTCCTCAAAAATA